GTTTGTTGTGTTGTTTCTTGTTTTTCAATTGTACCGTTCATGTTCGAGAATCTGGGCCAGCAATGGACAGGCACTGGTATTTATAGATTTCCTCTCAGCCTTGGACCAATCAGGTTGTGATAAGACCCACGTGTGACCATTCCCTCCTCCCATCAGAAAATAGACGTTCAGGTAAGACCAACGTCCTTTCTCTCTTGGATTTATTCATAATGAAAATCTTGGAGTTCTGGTTAAATCTCTGAATTCTATTTAGGTCAGAATATTTTAAATACCATGTCTTATTTAGAGCCTTTGAAGTAATGTTTTGCTTAGGTTATGGTAAATAAAAATTTTAAAAAAATATTTGATATAATAATAAAAAAATGAAACCCATGTTTCAGTTTTGAGATATTTGCAGGCTCATTTCCTTCCAGGGATCGTGTGTATAGCAGAGGGCATGTTAGTAATTCAAAAAATAATGAAAGTGATTGTCTTGACATAAATTCCGCTTTATCCAAATGTCTTACAGAGCATAGGAAGCTTGGCAACCTAACTGTGACAGTGAAAAAAACCGTCCCTTCAACAGAATCCATCCAGATCTTGTACCAGCGCATGAGATATGAATATGAATTCTACTACTATGTCAAAGAGCAGTTCCACCTGCTAAAACGCAAGTTTGGATTAAGATCCTCAAATGGTAACTCTTCTCCTAGGCCAGAATTTGCCATTCCTTCTCCTCTAGAAACTGAAGAGCCAGTAACAGAAGATGAGGAGCAAGACGATGAAAAGTGGTTAGAAGATATTTATAAAAGGTGATGCAAGATGGATTCCAAATTGTTAAAAAATGCTAATAACAATCTGAAGAAAGTGAGTTAATACAAAGCAGCATTTGAAAAGACACTACTCTTAGATTGAACTCAGAAACCCCTTTCTGAAAAGGTGTATTTGTTGAAATATTTTTGTTTGTTTCCTGGGCTCCACAGCATTATTGTAGTTAGAATATACTTTTAAATATATCATCTCTTGTTTAATTAGAAATAACATTGATGTTGTAAACTATTTTTGTATATGGTACTTTACAAGATGATATCACCTTGTTGGTCATTTGCAATTTTCACAAAACTAGCTTGCCTGATGTAGCATTTAATTTAATATATTAGAGTTTTATTTGAGCACATTGAAATAATAGCATGATATAAGAGATTTGTCATTGCCTGAATAAGGAATGCTGTTGTTCTGAAATAACAAAACTATCCATTGCTACTAATACCATTTGAAAAGAGACAACCAGGCTGTTAACAACAGTAAAAATAGGAATATAGAGAAGCCTAGTTAATGACTAGCATGCTCTAGATGTGTTTGACTACAACTTCAGTGATTCCCAATTAGATCTGTGTTGCCAGTAACTGGCTGGCAGCAAGGAGAGTTGTAGAGTGTTGGGAATTTGAGAAGGTGGGTATCATTAAATATCAGTACAGTGCTGAGGTTGAGTAAAACCGAAAAGGATAACATTAATGGAATTTAAACTTAGACTGCAGAAGAAAATATGAGATATTCTTTTTTTATTTTAAAGGAGATTCCTTTTTCCATAGTAGTTTTGACAATAAGCAAATATCCATAAAAGAAGGGGAACAAGAACTTTATGGGATGTTACATTTCTGTAACATTGTAAATATTGATAAAATTAATTGGTTCTAATTTCAAGACATTATTTCTGAAGGTGGAAATTTATAATTGCCTCAACTACTCTGAAAATCTGATACTTTCTGACAAATAAGACTGAAGATGAATATGCTGTGATCCCATCAGATGTCTTCAGTTCTTTTTCTCTCTCAAAGAAGTCAAAGTTTAACTCTTGCATATAGATAAGCAGCAGATACTCTTAACAGCATCTTCAAATAGTACTCTGACTGCAATAGTCAACATTTATGACTGATAATCAAAAATTACCACTTGAAAGAACAAAGTTGTAAGAGTTGGGTGCGTATTCTGTTTATTGGTGCGTATTGGGTGCGTATTCTGTTTATTGTTTTGGTGTATATTAGTCAACTCCCATTTAACAAATTCCCTTTTCAGAGCCGATGGATATCTGTTGCATTCTGTTTTTTTACAATGCTACTAGCAGGATTTGAACACACAAATTATGTTGTGGCTACACACTTACATGATTGAAAAATCTCACTAGGTGGTTCCAGTGCACTACTCTGAAGGAACACACTGGGAACTCAAAACAATAATTAACCAAAATGCTGCATTGTATATTAAGTGGTTTCTATGAAATTACATTTAAAGAGTAATGATTAGTTTACACACTGTGGAATTGTTTTCTTTTGGGGAGCAATTTAATATTCACATGCTGGAATGTTTTGTTTTTTTTAAAGTTAAAATTTGTGTGTGCTACAAGAATCCTGGGTTACTTAACATGTTTGCTTTCTCTGCAATTTCACTAGAATCTATTTTTTATCATGCTATTTAATATTATTCTTTGCCACAAATACTTTGAAATGTTAAAAGCAAGAGCTGCCAGTTGATTTATTCGCTAGATGTTAATGTTGTATATTTTTATATAAGCAACTTGACTTCTATTCTATTTCCAGAAAGGTACTTCATAAATTTATTTGGCACATAAGCTTTTAATATTTCTGAAAGAACAGGCCATATATCCGTCATGAAAAAATGTACTTTCAATAATTTAAAAGCACATTTTATGTTCACTCATTTTTTTTTACTTATTTATTGTGACTTTTCAGCACATTCCAAATTTTAAGTTGCTCAGGAAAGAAATTCATTTGAATCATTTTCTTTTCTTTTTTCAAAAATAGTGATTGTTGTTATAGAGCCTTCAGCCCATGATAACCTTCTAGAAAGTGCCATATTGGTTTGTAAATCACTGTGAGAGAGAAAGATGAATTCTTGGAATATGTGAAAATAATGAAGAGAATATATGTACATTAGGTTGGTTATAAATGAAAACAGCCAATATTTGAATTAAATATACCTTAACTTATTCACTCACGCTTTGACCTAACCTGTCTATTTTTAATGCACTAACATTTCCACATTGCTTGTTCTTCACAGAGTCATACAGTTATGTCTCTGGCCTCCTTCCCCTGCCCCATGTCTGAATGTTAAAAGTTTTCCCATTGAATCACCCTAAAAACGTTTATTGTAGTTTATTGGCTGAGGGTCATACTTCAGTTGTGTTGTTCTGACATCACTACGTGAGAAATACAATCAACATTGGAGCTGTGCTACATTGCACTGCCAGTATAAGTTACATAACCAATACTAGTTATTGTTTTTTCCATACACAGCTAGTGTAAATAAAGGTGGCAGAGAATAATTGCTGTCCAGGGTAAAATTATTTGTCAAAAGTGCTCAGGCAACTTTATGAAGTTTTATAAATGATCTTAAAAGGCTTTGAATTGAAAAAAATGATTAAGAAATGGTCCATTCAAGTGTACTGTACTCTAGGAAGATTATAATCTTCTAAAAGTATGGTTGCATTGCAGTTATCTAAAATATCCATGCAGCCTTCTGAAATTAGAAGGTCTTTTTGTCTTTTAAAGGCAATTATAGTTTTTCATCAACATTTAGTTGTCATCTAATATTTATGATGAACAGCCTTCATTCTGTTGTAGAATTTGATAACTCAAGCCAAGTAATCAAAATTGGATGCTTTTAAGATCCAGTGCTGCAATTAATCTAAGTAATCTAAATAAAGAAGCTCTAGAGTCCCTACAAGTTTTAGAGAGGAGTAAAAAACCTTCCCCCCCCCTAAGAAAATCTCCATGTTGAATTGTATATTCTCACCTATTGTTTACCAAACTTGCATTTGAAAATAATTACATTTCATGCATTTTAATAAAGGCCTTTAATTTGCAAAGTTAATTGTGTGGTCTGGCCTTTGTGCATATATTTGTGTTCCTAGCATTCTTTGTTTTAATACCAAATAAGAGATTTATAGTAAGATTAATGGAGAATATAAAAAAGACCATTTTCTTTTCTGGGGACTTTTAAAGTTGATTCAATATAACAATAGAATGATGAATTTTCTATTTACATATAGATGAAGCGTTTATATTTAACTGTAGAGAATCTGCAACTTTCTAATATCTGATATCATTATGGGGAAAGGATCTCTTTTCAAATTACTCAATCTTCCCTCAGAAACAAGGTTGAAATTTTATTGATACGTTATTGCTCAGTGAATTTTGTAGAATTTCTAAATGATTCAAGGGCTGTTCTAGATTGAGTAAATGGATAAATTCTAAAACTTAAATTAGTCTAAAAATGGAATATTTAAGACAATGAATATATCTTTTTAGTATAAAAAGCATCAAAAACAAATTGCACAGGACTATATTGGAACATTGTCACAATGCTTTAACAGATAACAAAAACTAATATTTATATCTTTATAATTTTAATCATTGAAAAATTACAAATTAGAAATACTGAAGGAATTGCAGGATGGTATTGTTATTATGGCTATTTTCATTTTAAAACATTCACTCTCAGTCTTTCATAAAGCTGTGAAGATCTGGCTTTTTCCTGTGCATTGGATCCAGATTTTAGATGTTTGCTACACCCAACTTCCTCTAGGTGTTGGCTGTGTTTTACTATTTTGGCTCTGTATTGCATTTTTTTTCACTGAGTACCCCATCCAGAGTTGCAACTTATGAATAGTTTTTTAAATAGTTTTTTAAAATCATTTTAATAGATTAGTAAAGTTTACTTACTACAAGTGACCTTGTGCTGAAGATGCTTGCTTCCCACTTGGAGGGTTGAGAATTCAATCCTAGGTAGTAGTAGAGATTTCTGTCTCAGGGCACAAAGAAAAAATATCTGCTGCGAACTCCATGTGGAGTCAGGAAGGGCATCTGGCCAGTAAATGCTCAGCTCCATTCAGTCGCCCCAACTCTACCCTGAATTAAAGTATTACTGGGTCATAAAAAGGGAGTTTTAGTAAAGTTTATTTACAATGAGTTTATAATATGAACTTGAAATAATAGGTATAAAATTTGTGGTTTTCCCCCTAAAAATGTATCTTTGATATTTCACTCTTTTTATTAAGAATAAGAATAGATAGCTTGTTGGCAAACACAATTTTTGAATTCTCCACTCATGGTCACCAGAACTTTTATACATTGTGCCACTGTCAGCAAAAAGTGTTTAATAACTGTGTAAGCTATATTATTTGTTTAATAAATTTGTAAAAGCACCAAAAAACCTTGGTGCTATTTTACTGATATCATATCACTAAGCCTTCTTCTCCATGCCTGATATGTCTGTTCTCTTGGTTCAGAAATTATGTCAGCCCATTTACATTAGGTTATTGATGTTTTGATGTAGTAATATAAGCCTGAATAGGCAGCCATTCTAATCTAGAAGCTTCTTTGAAATGTTCAGAGCATGGGCACATTCACAAAATGACTATCTTGAGAGATTTGCCTATTTTATCAAAATGCAAGTTATTAGGATGCTTTTGACAAGCCTGGAAAATCATTGCTGCAACTAAATATAATTCTGGGGCTTAGTATTTTTTTTACATTAAAATAATGTTTTGAAAAGTTTAGTGGGACAGGAATCCCAGCTGGCATCAGGAGAATGGCCCTGTGACAGCAGCTAAATTAAGAGTAGGATAAGTTCCAGGTTTACATCTTCACCCTGACACTATGTCATTGATTGACTTTGGAGGAATCACTAATCTCATGCTAATCAGGATGTTAATGGACAACCATGTGAATTAACTGAAACTCCATTTGGAGAAAAATGGAATAGAAAGATAATGCATGCATGAGAAAGGCGGTTGTTGTTGAAATATGTCCCATTGTTAGACAGGATCTGTATAAATACGTTGAATGTAAGAGCCAGAGAAATAATATAACATTCAAAGGTTTGCCACTTCCTCATAAACATGACATATTAGTTTATTCAAAGGTCTTTTCAGCCAGGTGAACTTTGAATGGCCATTATCTTGAATCAATAGCTTTCTACTGAGGGGTAAATAACACAGACTCTTTTATTTATACCCTTTTCATATTTCTTGTATCACTGGTTTACTGTATAAATAACATTAAGTCACAAATTGGCAAACATTTTTATGCAGTAATACTCACCAATCCTTTAATATTCCTGTGTCCTCCCAGAAATCTCACAATTTGGATGTTTAAATTTAAAAGTTAGATATTGATTGACTGCCAAAATCTCACACCCAGTGCCTAATTTTTTTTGTCTACTGCTCTAAATTGTAATTGGTTCCTCACTTATATGTGAGCCAACCTTCTATGGCTTATCAACAACCAGACTTTTATCAAGGAACACCCCCCCCCAAAAAAAAACCTCTTGACTTCTAACAATGTATAACGGCAATGATCTACTACATTCATCTATAGTATTCTTGTAATTTCTGATAATGTAAGGGTCAAAAATTATCTGCGACCGTATATACATTTTTTTTTACTAAAAGAAACCCATCTTTTTTTTTTGAACTTGCACATTTCCCTCATAGTATACAGTATTCTGAGATTTAAGAGTCTGATTTTTTCCTCTCTGAAGATGTCTACTAAGAGGTCACGAGAACAGTTTATATTACAATGTGGTGCTCCAAAATCCTGTTTAGGAAAAATAATATCTATAATGTAAGTCACAGAGGCTTTATTTATTACAGGGAAGCTATCATTTTCAGCAAAATGGCTAATGGAAAAAATATATTGTGTATGTATGTGAAGGGTTCATGTTTTTTTTTTAAGTAGTGGGAGCAGAAAGTACTGTTTCTGCAATAGAAACTCTGATTAAGCTATTTATTAGACATCTCAGAACTTTTTGTTCAAAGTCAGCAATACGTAGTATGGTTCCTGTTGAAGTACATGCCGTTTGTTACCCATGAGGCAGGATGTTGTTTCCTCAGAAAGTTTACACTCTTGCCATATTTGCAATTGTTGGAACTATTTTCAAGCCATTCTTTGCTCGCTGGGCCTATCCATCTGTACCTACAAATGTAATTATATGCCAACCCAATTATAATTACATTTTGCTTAAATTTATTTTTTATCACCTACTATATCCCCAAATTAATCTCTGGCATTGCTAATATAAATTTTATCAAGGATTCCTATATTTTTGCCCTTGCTGACCAGAAATACTTATGTCACCCAAAGCAAAAGACAGATATGGACAGCAGCTAGAGTTGGGGTTTTCAAAAATGGGAAAAGCTATTATTTCTTTGTCTCAGAATCCTAGGTGTTACCTGATTCCTGCTGCTTCTAGCAGCACTAATTCAGACATTACAGATATTAGCTCAATGGAGGCCTCTTCAAACCTACTGTATTTGTTTGTTTGTTTACTGGTTTACAAAGATTGCATAGATTGAAAACAGTGTTTCCCAATCTCAGCAATTTTACGATGGGTGGACTGCAACTCCTAGAATACCCCAGCCAGCATGGCTGAGGTTCAGAAACATTGATTTGAAGAACGCCTAGCCACATAATGGGCAGTTTATGTAATAAAAAAAGAGAACAATCAGACGAAGAAACAAATGAAAATGTGTCCAAAGGGGGTGGGGACAGAACAAACTCTTATAGGACTTCATCAAGTTTTCATGTTTTAGACTATCATTGGAAGGGGGCCAAACAGATCTTGGGGGTGTAGCTGATCCAGAGATTGTTGGCTTTTCTAAAACGTAGGCAAGGAAAATGCACGAGCATGAGCTGTCTGCCCCATCCAGCCCCAAGATCATTTCCTTTGATTTCTTCTGGTCAGACTTCAATCTGAGCAGCCATCTTCAGTGGAAACCTTGGGTGGAAATTCTTTTAATTAACCCCCCCACACACATACACACACCAGGAGCTTCCCTCCTCTGGTAAGACAAACCCTGTGGTGGGTTTGACAGTGGCATCATAGTCACTTTCTGACTCCGACATTTTTTTTCAAAAATTAGACATGTTACACATATTGTTCTCACCAGGAAGCAGTTATTTCTCTGATGAGTGCAGTAATGTCCATATAATTTATCCATTTGTTAATATAATTAGCACAGGAGGAGAAACCATTTGTATGAACCTTTATAGACATAACAATACCAAATATAGCAAATGGAAAATCTTGACACAAGAGGGAGCCCTAGTTACCAAATAATTGAAAACATGTTGCCAAAATCTGAAATCACTTCTTACTAATTAGTACCTTACTGAATCCTTTATAATGTGACTCATACTGGGTTGTCAGATTGATACTTTAATACCTCTATTCTAGCCCATTCTTTCTATAGCCTCTAAGGGGGCTTGAGTGAAGTTTACTTGGCAATAATACAAGAGTGACTTGCTATTGTTTATTTTTTTTCTCCCAGCTATTTTTAGATTTCCCAATTAGTTTAAGGTACTAACCATCCAATGGCCCAACTCTGGCTTATTTCCAGCCAGAGCTGCCACCTGTTAAAAACTGATTTAAACTACTGCAATCTTTTTTTAAAAAAAAACAAAACAAAACAAGGTTTCTGCATTCAAATTTTGCAATGATGTCAAAAATTATTTCCCGAAATCAAAATTTAGCACAAATCAAAAGCGCAAGTAAGGATTTAGTAGAAGCGATAAAGCTTGACAAAAATTCATTTCTACAAACATTGCACTTTGGAAATTGTGTGGTGTTCAACCAACAATTTTGTTTTGATTTCCATTGGTGGTGAGGAGAACAATTCCTTTCTAGACAAGCCCTCT